CTCGTCACTTACACTGTAGTTCTTCTACAATTTGCATTTTTGTAATTTTATATCTTCCTTGTCAAGTGAGCCGTGATACTTACGAGACCAATAAAATTGTTAAATGCTATTTTAAATACTAATTTACTACGGCGCTAGCGGTGAAAGAAAATCGTGGCATGATCGTCTCTGTCTATCTTTATTCATATTGACACAGCAATAGACTGATTTCCATAAAATTTGTAATGAAGGTACATTATGACCCTGGGCAAATAAAGGCTATTTTTATTTTATCACGGTTATGCAAGGCTTCTTTAAATATTTATTATTTCATAATAGCTGCTGATAATTTTATCCGTCGTATACAAAATAACGTAGATCTCTTAAAATTAATACTTTTATGAAAGAAAAATATTTTAAATATTGTGAGGTAGTTAGAAACTGAGATGAGGATATACATACATACATATATATAAACACTCACGCCTGTCACCCAGAGGGGTAGGCAGAGATTATGGACTTCCATTTGGCACGATCCTGACACACCTCTCTCGCTTCCTCCACATCCATATACCTACGCATACACGCTCGTCGGTTAAAGGTACTCTTGATAAGGCCCATTTTTAAAATATCGCCAATTTGGTCGATAAACTTTCACCTAGGGCGACCCTTCCCGACTATGCCGTTCACCTCTGCAAGATAAATTTGCTTTGTCACTCTTTTTTCACTCATTCTTTCTACTTGGCGAAACCACCGAAGCATTCCTTTCTTAATCCTGGTCACAACATCATCTTGCAAACCACACTCTTCTCTTATTAAACAATTTCTCACTCTGTCATTCAGCTTCATCCCTAACATACTCCTTAATGACCGCATTTCTACAGCATTTATTCTACTCTCATGCTTCTTCTTCCACACTTAACTTTCACTACCATACATTAAAGTAGGTACTAACACAGCATTGTGAATTGCCATACGTGCCTTTTTGGACACATTCTGACTTTTCACAATAGAGTGTAGAGCCCCATTCACTCTATTTCCTGCATTCACACATCGTTCTATATCCTTATCATATCTACCATCCCTGCTAAACACACATCCCAAATATACAAACTCATCTACTTGCTCTACCAACTCCCTTTCTATTCTTATTTCACATATCGTTTTACTTTCTTCTCTTTCAAAAACCATAACTTTCGTCTTACTTGCGTTCACTTTCATTCCCTTTTCTTTTAATGTCCTGTTTATTAATGTAACCATCATTTGCAACTCGGCTGCCGACGATGCAAGTATGACTTGATCATCGGCGTACAAAAGGCATTTAACGGTTAACTCACCCATTCTTAACCCACATTCTTCTACTTTCAAATTTTCCAAACAACTGTCCATAAATAGGTTGAGCAACCACGGGGAAGCCACACAGCCCTATCTGACACCTTTATGGATGACAAACCAGTCCGAGTAGGCCCCGTTGATCCTGACACAAGCACTAGAGTCCCTATATAGAGACTTCAATGCCTGTATCAGACCAGCGGTCAACCCAAATGAGTTCAGTGTTTGCCATAACACATCCCTGTCCATTCTGTCATATGCCTTCTCCAAGTCCATGAACGCACAAAAAACTTTTTGGTTTTTGGCCAAAAACTTCTCCGCGATCATGCGCATGGAAGAGACCTGATCCGTACATCCCATTCCCTTTCTAAATACCGCTTGCACATCCCAAATTTTTCAATCAGTTTCTTTCATAACTCTTTCAATTAGTACCTTAGCATACAGTTTTCCCACAATGCTAAGAAGGCTGATACCACGGTAGTTTTTACAGTCCTGCTGTGATCCTTTTCCCTTATATATTGGGACTATCACGGCTTTGCACCAGTCTCCCGGTACCCGCTTAAGTTCCCAACATAAATTAAACAAGGTGTACAGCAAGTCTGCCACCACACTTTCTCCAGCCCTTAGCATTTCGAGAGATTGCCTGGAAGTTATCCGATATTCTTCTATCATTCTTATCCGTTCTTTCTTGCTTTTTCCATTCAACTACTTCTTTTCCCATCTTACTTATCTTACTACTTATTTTACCATCTTATTTAGGTGTCTAAAAACTGCCGTTTTCCTATCAATATCATCATTTATACTGCTAGAATTATTAGTCTTGGTTGCTAGTAAATCTAGCCATGCTTTCTTTGTTTGCTTCAACTTTTTTGTTTGCTTCAATTTCTTTGCTTCAACTTCCATCCGTACCTCATCATCCCACCATAATGTGTTATTTTTCCTTTCATTCGCTCTCTTACTTACACCACATACTTCGGTAGCTGCATCCACTAAACCTTTCTTGACATTATACCACACAGTCTCCAAGTCTAAATCATTCATACACAATTCAGCCATACCACTTATATTTTCTCTCAATCTACATTTGAACTTCTCTTTCACACCTTAATCTTGTAACCTCTCTGTTCTTATACGCTGTAACGCAGTGGTAGACACAGATGTCCGATGCCTCCAACGTCTGAAAAGACCATTAATACGGCATAAGACCAAGTAATGATCCGTGCCTACGTTAGAGCCCCGGTAAACCCTTGTATCTACCACCGCGCTCCTCATTCTTTCATCAACAATTATGAAATCTATCATACTTTTATCATCACCTCTTTCCCATGTATACGTGTGAATCTTCTAATGACGAAAGAAAGTGTTCGTCACAACAAGATTCTTTTCCACGCATACGGCGAGAAGGCTTTCACCATTCTCATTTATACTTTCATCACCAAACGTTCCCAATATCCTTTCATAACCAAGCCTCCTCACCCCAACCCTTCCATTAAAATCGCCTAATATCACAATATTTTCATTAACCTTGCATTTCATTAGCACCATCCTTACCAACTACCAAAACTGCTCTCGGATATAAGTGGGCTTAGACATGTCTGGGGCGTAGACCCCTAAAACAAACAACTTCTTTAAGCCCACTTTCATTCGTATCCATAGCAGCCTCGGGCTTACACATTCATACTCTTTCACACAATGACCCATTCTTTCTGAAAGGATGATACCGACTTCCTGGCATGCTCGCTCGGTCTCGTCTACACCAGATCAGTACGCGGTATACATGCCATGTGTAGTGGCATCCTTTCCCTTCCGTTTCGTCTCATTTACACATAACACGTCTATTCCTCTATCATACATCATATCGCATACTTCATACATCTTATCATTCATTCCTCCACATACATTCAATGTAGCCAGACGGGCTTCCGCAATCCACTTTTCGCCCCTCTGGGGGACAGAACGTGACGGGTGGCGAACCTCGTTGCCGGTTTTCCTCCCGGAGATTCTTCGCACCTGAGGATATATGCACGTTAAACGTTTTTTTTACAACAGCGCTATCTATCAAAAATAAAAAGAATGCTATTATTTTCCTTGATATTTTGCTTACTAAATAATTACACCTTTTGTCGTTTTGAATAAAACTGTTTTACGGATTTTATGTAGTTTCATTTAATTCATTATTAATTCCTTTGACTCAGGCGCTTCGCTATCATGTCTGATATGAGTTCTATTTCCATTTTTAACGATTATTTTTGGTATTACTTTCTTTAAAAAAGCGGTCAATTGCGAGTGAGACTCGCCCGTGAAGGGTTCCGTAGCAGTTCCGGAATAAACAGACAGAAAATTGAGTTTTATTATAAGTATTGTATAAACTTTCATATGCATTTATTAAAAAGCTGTTATTTTGATATTACAAGCAAACAGTTCAATTTTTTTAGTTTGTATAGATACTCTTAATTGTAAGGATTCTTACACAGAATTGAATTATTGGCTTACCGGAATTCCACATAGTTTTTTGTAGATATAAGTTGCATCAAGTATTTTAAAGAATGAATTTACTATATTTAATAACTCATCCATATTCAATAAGACTCATTTGCAGAGTTTACTTCATTGATTTCCAATTCATTAAGACGTTTTAGTTCAGTTATTCATAAATCAGTATAACACCACAATAATTTAATCGTTCAAATTTGGTAAAAAACTTTAAAGTCAAATATTAATAAAGACAAATTGGTTATATATAGGTAAGTTGAGCCCAATTTTCTGATGACAATCGGTAGGAGTATGTGATGTCCACGGGCAAGTTGTATAGCTACGACAAACCATCTTATCACCGACACTGAGATGATACGTCTAGGACATATTCGTTAGCGAGTCCACGTTTACCGCAGCCTCAGTCACGGCGAAGCAGTATACACGCCACTATAATAATCATTTTCAAGTCCCATTTCTATCAATATAATGCTTTTACATATTTGATGCCTTCCACATATTTGCTTTATCTCATAGACCTTACTATCTTAAGTCTTTTATATATGGGACTTCAAGCCACAATTCTGCTATTATAATGCTTATGCATCTTAGAAACCTTGTATATTATTGCTTTTTTATCTATACTTATCTATACTATCATAAGTCTACCATTGTGCAACAGTACTTCGGTAGTCAGCCACCTAACCCCCATATATTTATGTATGACCTTGGGTATGCGTCGCCGGCAGCTCCTTTATAAAAGCAATAATTAAAACATGAACATGCTCCAGCATTGCACGAATACACTCGGTAACTTAAAATATTTATTGGTAAGTAGTTGTGTACCATTAGTAAGCAAATAAATACTTGCACACTCCAATGAAAATCACCTTTGAGAATGGACTGATCGCTACCAAATTATTTCCATTAAATAAAAATAAAATATGGCATAATCACCATCATCATCATCATCATTACACTACTAGTAACTAATAAACAATAATAGTAACTCCCAGACATTTACATTCAAAGACATCTCTTAATAACGATTTATTAATATCAGTACAGTTTCTTAGAAGTTTCATCGATTCAACTATATTATTCTAATTTTGAAATAAAATATCTTAATTTTAATCGATAAAATCGCCAATTTGAGTCATAATTATTATTTATTACTTAATATTTAATTTTATAAGTAAATTTTCTCTGTGTATCAGTTAATTTGTACATGTAGAATTGTAGTCCTGTTCCTTTCTCGATCTATCAACGCAACTGAACAATTTAAAATCCCTTCCAAACATTTCACCATCCTCTAAAGTCTGAGGCAGCGGTTGGTTCAGGGTTTCGGGCAGGAACAGCGACGAAATACCCGCCATCACGCTAAGTATACCCATGATTATGAGTGGAAGTGATTTGCCGTATACAGCCTGAAAAAAAAATCACTAGCGTTGTTAATGAATTGATTATTTTTATAAAAAGAAATCTAAACACCTAAACCCGTCTAAGGCAAAAATCTCCTACAATTTTTTTGTATATTTTTTTTATATGATAAGGGTGACAAACGAGCATAGAGTCCACCTGATGGTAAGTGATTGCTGCGGCCCATAGACATCTACATCAAACAAAATGAAGATGCGTTCTCACCCGTGAGGACTAAGATGGATTGCCTCATTTCCAGTAAAAAGGGTCTCCGGTTCTCTACACTCACCATACGAAACACAGCAACGTTATGCTGCTATTTTACGCTGGTAGTCTAAAAGAGCGTGGTCCCTCCCCGGTCGAGCCGGCCCATTCTTGCCACAACTATACTACTAATATAGTTGCAGCATGGCGCTGCCACGTAAAAAAAGTTAAAAAAAATAGTTAAAAAATATGTCGCAGCCAACTAGCTTAATTAGTCTTTCAGTTAACAATCAACATCATTCAGGCCGCTAGTTGAACGGCGCCATATATACAAAGTTTTATATATATTTTCAAAATGCACTCCTTAAGACTTTTCATTTAATACCAAACACGATATTTTAATTTATTTTCTTGATACTACTTTAAGTCCGCAATGAGCTGCAATGTTGCATTTTATGTATATTAGTATTGTCATGTAGTGTCACTTCTATAAGTACGCGGCACTTTCAACGATCCCTCATTTATTAAATACAACAAGTAGTACGGTTTCCGTTGGGGTCGCTCAGTTGGTGATATTCTTGTTTACCTTACACATAGATGAACTAGACGAAAGGGGAGGCATTGCCATTAGTTTGGACAAAGCGAAGGTCTTTGATCGGGTCTGGCACAAAGCGCTTCTTTTGAAACGGCCTTCCTATGCGCTTCCCGAGAAGTTGTGCTATTGGATCACCAGTTTTCTGGATAATCGGAGCATCAAGAAGGTAGTAGATGGTGCATGTTTCGATTACAAGGCTATTAACGCTGGTGTATCTAGGTGTATCTTACCAACTTAGACCTCTGTAATATAGGAAATGCCAATGAGGAGACGTGTTGCTAGTAGTATATCTTTAATTAGACTAATTTTTATAATTGACTGCAATTATATGTGCAATTATATGCAATTATATGTAAATATGCAAAATAAATGTCGTTCATCACACATCGTACACGTACAAATGAGGGCTATAATATTCCACTCACCAGATGTCGCTAGTTGACACTGAGGTAATTTTTTTTTGTTAAACAATGTCATTTCATTGAGAAGTCACTTTCAAATAAAAGCTTATCACTTTCTAGAGATATACAAAATAATGCCTCAATGAAATGCTCTTTAATTTATTTTTACATGCATATATTGCACATTTTTAACTCTTTTTTTCCCACTTTTATGAATGTCTGTGGTTTGTTTTCTTCATTTTAAGCTTATTTTTACTTTTAACTCTACTTATTGTTACTTGTAATTATAAAAATAATGCTTACAGTTCAAATTTCTTAATCCTCATTTAAAAATATAAATATAACTAAACTCACCAAATGCACAATATAAGGACAGACGAAAAGGCTTAAGCCCGAAATAAATGACGCCAATCCCATAGCTTGCGATCTCAACACCGTAGAAAGAAACTCTCCAATTAACACGTAGAATACAGCAAAGGATGCCGCCCCACAGAGTCTGCCCAGCATTGCCAAGCAGACAGACAACCATGGCCTGTCTAAAATGTATTTTATATATAGTTTTATAATAACTAGCTCAATGAGGACAGAAACTTTGAGCTTAGCAGTACAAAGCTCGAAGTTCCCTTGCGTGACAGAATTTGTAGCAATGTATACGCAGTAGAACCAGTGTAACCGACACATTCCAATGCTCCAATAAGCCGAAGTGGCAAAGGGACGGCCATGTAGCTCGACAAACTAAAAAGGAAAGAACTATAACGTTCCTTACTACATGGGTTAATGACCTGGTAAAAGATGCTGGAAGTCATTGGATGAAGGGGGCTCAAGATCGTGCTTTGTTGCATAACATGGTGGGGGCCTGTGTTTAGCAATGGACATGTGATATAATGATGAGGGCAAAAGGAAATGAAAAGAAATATAAAATATATCAAATGTTAAAATTGTTTCTACTTTTAACCTATTTTAATTATTCTTGACACTTTGTAAAACATCATAGATTTATCTTCAGTTTTATTTCGTTGTATATTTTTGTCTGTAGATGCAGGGAACGCTGGTAACAATTAATTGTTTTTTTTATAATGTTTTCTTATATTTACGCGAAGACTACACATTAAATGAAACTAATTTTTACGGATTATATCGCGTTTAATTTTAACTTTTTTAATTCCCGACGTTTCGGGTGCTTTACAGCACTCATGAACATATAGCTGACGTGAAGCACCGACGTATCGGGAAGTCTGCAGTTTGTGAACATGTTCAAGATGGTCCCCGCCATTATATTAGATTTGATAAACCATAAATCCACGCAAAAGAACACCGATTCCTACCAAGGATGATTATTTATATTAAAAAACATCCTAATTTCAATAGAGAAGATGGATGGGTGCTGCCATCTGCTTGGGATCCTATAATTAATAAAATTAAATCCAAACCCAAGTATACCACTGCTAGGCTTCAAGATAATGTACGCTCATTCTGCGTAAATCGAACCAAAATTTAATATTAAAAAACTGTAGTTAGCCGGGCTAACTACGAGTATGACATCGGGACGTCAAACACCTCAGTCTCTCCCGTGACCATGAGTTCTGTAAAGCACCCGAAACGCCGGGAATTAAAAAAGGTAAAAGGTAAAAATTTTAGCCTAAGACCTGAGTGGATATATATATATATAACTTTCGGCGGAGTGTTACCTAGCGTCAGCTCAATACAACAGCATTTATTTGTCATTGCGCTACGCTGCACGTTCTACCAAACGCTCTTTTAGGCCTCTGCCTAACCGTGAGGCCGCTATTTAGAGACTATCAAAAACCCAAACTCCATATCAAAATTTAAGTCTAAGCTATACTATATACCACAAAAATTTTGACATTTTGAAGTTTTAAGTCCAAATCCATATTTTCTGTCAATACCTTTTTATAAATAAGTTAGGTAATTTTAAACATTGTAATAAATTAAATAATAAAGAGAGTTTTGTCACAGGGGTTAAACAACGCCTACATTCTGACTCGAAACAGAAAAACTAATAACTAATTTGGTCCAACCCGTGATTCAAGCCCGGGCCTCTTAATCAACATCGCCATCTCCTCTTAATTACGTCGTTTATCTGATGATAGTAAGTGCAACACTTAAGACCCCTAGACCACCGAGGCCATTAGTCGCCCTGAGATTGCCTCATGGGCGGGATATTTGCGGATATATTATAGGCGGAGTGAAAACCTCAGTTTTTATTTTTTTTAGTGGTCGATAACCACGTAAGAAGGTGCTGCCCATCCACTGTTTCATTTCCCTTGACTTTCTGGTAATTCCTAACTAAACTAAAATTAAAAAATATGAAATATATCGTGTTTATTATGTGGGATGTATAAATAAAACGATCCGCCTATTAGACTTACTCAGCTTTTTATTTAATTTCTATGTCAACACTATCATTGAGTACATAATACATTTTATCAGAACAAATAAGTTGTCTAAAAAATTATTTCAACTATAGCTAAATACTACAGGAATGCGAATTGCAAGAGCACAATAACATAGGTTGCAAGAACGGAAATAATACGCAGTGGCAGCTTCGCGTCCACTGTGACCATGCTACTGCTATTCATCATTTTGTACGCTGCCCTGTTCAATCGTCGAAGAGTTTTATATGCCAAACGTTCATCTGCAAAGTATAAAGTCAATCTAACTACTCTTGAGAATATGGTACAATAACTGTTAACTTTAGGACGAAATCAACAAGTTGTAAATAATGTTGACTAAGCGAAAATTTCTACTAAGTTTAAAATTTAAAATAACTACTTCTATTTAGCCTTGGATTACTTTTCTATTTTTGACTTGAAATAGTAATAAGTGCGCTGCTGATTTTCGATCTAAATGGTATTATAGGTGACAACGTGTCTGTAGTGTTCTTTATTTGAAGTTGATTGTAAGTGTCCATGGTTGCGACCACGATTTACCATTAAGTGGACAATTATTTAGTATATCACATCAATTATCAATAAAAAATTATCTTCATCAACCAATAGAGGAGTTCTATTACCGTTTATAGGCACGAACATCTGCACTTAAGATAATCATCATTGTATGTTGTCTCTAGTACAATACTGAACAAACTCTTTCTTCATATAGTACCACATCTGATTTATCAGTTAGAGCCATATAACTTGTATCAATTTGCCTCTACCTGAGTTATTTGGCCGGTCTAATCACTACTGACTATTGACGCTGATTAATCTATCCGCCTGCCACGCGTTGTGGTAGTGGTAAATTCTTCTTACTATACGGGAGGCTGATTTCCAACAAAAAAACACTGTTGTTGGCTGGTGAAGGAAAAGAAGATGATATGTGTAATCAATGTTGAGAGTACTGGGGCGGGGCAGCCAATGCAACTTACAATTGTTTCCCGTCCGCTGTGCATCAAGCACCTCCTCGAGTTTCTCATTCTTTTTTTATAAATGACAGTCTATTAAAAGGCCGTTGCTAAAAACAGGCCTTCCCTATAATATTAATAGCCTTCATACCAAATTTCAGTCACCGCCAGATGGAGAATAGCCATCTACGTAGGACAGAATTAAAGTGAACGAGTGTTTGCGCGAGCACAGGTGACTACTTTTTTACGTGATAGAGCCATGCTGCAGTTATATTAGTAGTATAGTTGTAGCACGAGAGCGTGGTCCTTCCCCGGTCGAGCCGACCCGGCTCGACCGGGGAAGGACCACGCTCTCACAGAAAACCAGCGTAAAATAGCAGCTTAACGCTGCTGTGTTTCGTATGGTGAGTGTAGAGAACCGGAGACTCCTTTTACTGGCAAAGAGGCATTCCATGTTAGTCCTCACGGGTGACAACGCATCTGCATCTTAAGTCTTTATTGAGGATAGATGTAGATGTCTATGGGTCATAGTAACTACTTACTATCAGGTGGATTGTGTGCTCGTTTGTCACCCTATACTATAAAAAAAACTACACTAAACACTCAACATTTTCATCATTGTATCTCATCACTAAATCACCATCGGATAAAGTAGTAGTAGTAGTAGTAGTATATACTTTATTGTACACCACACATGTACAACGAATAAATACATTACAGAGAAAACTTAATATATACGTATGTACAATAAGGCGGTCTTATCGCTAAAGAGCGATCTCTTCCAGACAACCTTTGGCCTAAAGAGAAACTGGAATTAAGAACAGTAGGAGGTGGTGCGCTTTATGTTACACTTACATACTAATATCTAAATAAACTAAACTATATTTTGTTAAAATACCACAATAATACATAAAAAATAATAATAAAATAAACATACATATTAATAAATAGGTATATATATATATATATATATATATATACATATATGTATATATATATATATATATATATATAAACATATACACATACATATATATACAAAGATAATAAATATTGCTAGAATTGGTTATCAATAACCACAAAGTGTTAGGTAATGCTTCTTGACGTCACTTTTGAATCTTTTCAAAGTTTGAGCACGTTGAATTTGGAGTGGAAGTTCATTCCATAACATAGGCTTGGCTCGTAAAAGAATATTTCATAAATTTTGTTCGAAATGAACATGGTTCTAGAATTAGTTCGCCGGCTGACCGTAGAACTCTATCAGGTCGATCATGACCAATAAACTTAAAGTTTTCCTTCAAGTAGCTTGGAGTCCAAGGGTTGAACAACACACAGTACAAAAGAGATACAGTTTGCAGATTCCGGCGAAAGCGAATGGGTAACCACTTGAGCTGTAAACGATATTCGGATACATGATCATATTTGCGCAAACCAAATATGAACCTAATAGCAATATTTTGAATTCGCTCAAGTTTGTTCAGTTGGTCTTCAGTTAAATCGAGATAACTTGCGTCCGCATAATCGAGAATAGAGAGAAGTAAGGATTGTGCTAACATAATCTTAGTGGGAATGGGGAGAAAAGAACGTAAACGACGAAGTAAACCCATAGTAGCAAACACCTTTTTGCTCACTTGTTTTAACTGCTGCGACCACGACAAGGTAGAATCTAGATATATTCCCAGATTTTTTACAGATTTTTTACAGTATTCGTTATATTATATAACACACCTGATTCATCAACTAGGGCCGCATGGCCCATGTGGGTTGCCTCTACTTAAGCTATTTGGCCGGTGTAATTACTACTGATATTACTGTTACACCGTTACAGCCTATTAATATCAACTACTGAACATAAGCATTTTTTCCCATTGCATTTTCTTTCGCATCTACCATGGGGAGTGCTCTGAGGAATTGTTCGGATTAATCCCAGCCGCCAAATTTCACGAACGCACATCGCGGCAGAACTCCCGATACCATCCACACCATCTGGATGATTGGCGGTCCATCACTGTGCGATTTAGAAGATGTTTTCTTCCTCGCACGACCTCCTTGTGGAATCGATTACCATCAGCGATTTTTCCGGACCGATACGACTTAGGGACCTTCAAGAAAAGAGCGTACTCCTTTTTAAAAGGCCGGCAACGCATCTGCGATTCCCCTGGTGTTGCAGTTGTTCATGGGCGGCGGTAGTCACTTACCATCAGGTGAGCCGCATGATCGTGTGCCCCCTCTCCTATAAAAAAAACAAAATAAGCCTCCCCTATAGACTGTCTCATAGGGGGGATATTTGCCATAGTTGCCACGCTTTGCAAGCGGGTTGGCGACCGCAATTTTTTATTTTTAGTCATTATTAGGAAGTCGCTGCTGCCCATCTTATTTGTTTCCCTCACGGGCTGTTGAAAAATAAGACGAAAGCTAGGTTAGATTGCGAAAGAGGAGGCATAATATTATACTTAATTCGCTTAAAAGACATCAGGCAGAGTTGCCTGACGACCATGATGCATCACTGTCACAGAAATCGCTTACAGAACTCACCTGGACTCACGTCAGCCACAGTGGTCATTAATAATACAACTTCGGTATTTTTCAGTGCCACAAAATACTTTTCACGCTCAAAGCTTATCAGAAACAACAGCGTTATATTCTTCAACGTAAACATAAATAGAAAAAGTGTGTACGATCCCATGTTTGGAATCTGAAAGTTATTTAAATAAAACTGGAAATATCGTAGTAGCTTCACAAATTTAATAAATGCTGCTTAATACTAAGGTACCTTAAAAGCATTCTGATTAAAATTAATGCGGCAAGAAGGCCAAAATTGGTGGATAATATTAATTAGCCCGGCCTGGATGAGGCAATGTATGGATTGTGTAATGCGAGGATTTTACGTAGCTTATGGACTGTATATCTTATTTCGCGATACTGTAAATGTCCCCGAATTCGAGCTACAGGAATGGCGTGAAGGATGGCATGTGCACTCATCTGCACATGTGCTGAGCTGCCGCGTGTCTTCTTGAGCTGCGTTGCACGTTGGTTGGATGACGGCTGTCTTTCCAACTAACTTTGCGTAAAATTGCGTTATTGCAAATGTCTATACGATTGCTGTTTTCTTGTATTGTTCAATATCCACATTACACCACGGCACGAGATGATGAAGCTCGATATAGCGGTGCGATCCGTTACGTAACTTGCGAGTTTGTGTTCCCTTTAACACACGGGTGCACATGCTGGGCTTAAAGGCAGTAGATAAGAAAACCAGGCAATGGACATTGCAGTACTCTTATTGGATAACAATAACAAATTTCCTAAGCGTTAGACGGTAGTTGCAAGTGACGCAAATACCTTCGTCACATATTGTTAGTCCTTTGTACTTACCCTTTACAGCAAAATTCACTTCAAAAGAGGGAATGTCATTATGTCAGCTTAATACTGTTGTGTTTTTTGTTGTGAGTATTCCATCTTAGTCCTCAGGCGTGACAACGCATACGCATTTTGATTCTTCGATCGAGGTCCACCAGTTCCGAATTTGGTGAATTTTGCAAGGAACACGATATGCTATGTAGTTTAATGCTTATTTTCGTTTGAATTTAGACAAATTTTTGTGATCTGATATTATAATATGTCGTTTTATTCAATGCGCAGGATCTTATACTCTATTGTTAAATGCATCCTGACCCAAAAACTATCACTGGATATTCGTTTGTATGCTATTAAGTTCAGATCTCTGTAGTTCAAACGAAATAACAATAAAAAAACCAAACAGTCAAATACGATTTACAGTTAAACATATTTACAGTTAAGGTCAACATTATTACTAAGGCTAGTTTATAATTAGTAGTCTCAGGTTCAAACTAGAATCTAAATATACGATATAAATAGAAGTTGACAGAAAATTTCAAATTAAACTAAAACTGTAACTGTGGCTAAGGGACTTCTGTCGTGACAAGGATTCATTTTAACGATAGTTCAATCCCGAGACTAACAATGAACCACGTTTTGAAATACGACAGTATAAGTTTTAATAAATACTAACCACGATTAAAGCTTGGACATTCGCTAGAGACTGCATAAATGTAACAACAATATAATACAACACCTGAAATATGAAAAAAAATCTGTAAAATTGTATGTTTATCCAAAAATTTTCTATACAAATTAAGTCTTACCGGAATTTCGCAAAGTTCCTTACAAATATAAGTGGCATCGAGAATTCGCTTTAAAACGCTGACCTTTGTTTGCCAAAATACCAGTAGCCTCGTTGGTTTATTTGAATGATATTCATTCACAACCGAAGTATTAAATTGTTTCATTTCAGTAATCCATAAGACTAAATAATTTCTCAATAACTTTATCATTCGTAACATGTAAACTGTATTTAAATCCGCGAGCAACAACAACAAATAAGTGAAAACCATTGTTAATGTAAGCTTTTCTTTAATTATATGAAACAAGTAATACAAGATATAAAACGAACATAAAATTAAAACGTGGACCCAGCTAATGATGATACTTCTATTATCAATAGTAACTAATTTGAAATACTTTTTAATTTTTTGGATTGTTAATATTAACATCACGTGTGTATCGCTCTGGATTATATTAACAATAGAATTTAGACCACAGCCGACACAATATAGAAAATATTTCAAAACGAAAAGTGTTAAAAGAAGTTTCTCAAATTTTTTTATGGGATCATCGAAAGCAATAATAATTATGTAAGAAAGAATGAAACAAAATGAAATTAAGAGTGAAATGCAATTAATGGTACGGTTGTTTGAAGTTATAAAATTATCACGAATATTATATTTTGGAGAAAACAATACAAATTGCACAAGATTTATCGGAAACAGGTACTTTTGAAGATCAGCATCAAGATAGTTGTCTAGAAAGTCGTTTTGAAGGTAATTTAATGAAGGACATAATTTATTTGTTCGGAATTTTATCTTTTTTATGTATTCTCTTCGTGTTGTTTTAAACATGGTTTGGCAAACAAATTTAACTTAGAAATGAAACTTCACTCTTCACGTTATTGATTTTATGTATTCATATTGTAAGCGATTTTCATTACATTAACTTTTATTGAAATTCCATCGTTCATTATAATATTAATGGTGTTATTAATAATCGATAATGTAAGTATATACTATATATACCTATGTATATTCTATCTTCACATATAATAAATCTTTAGAAAGTCGTGTCTGTAATTCTAATATTTTCTGGAAAAAACAAGTCCAAGGGACTAAATGTAGTATACTGAAGCCACATTAGTAGTTTTTAGAATATTGTCAATTGGTCTGTCTGTCCGATTATTCACGATTTACGAAAAATTACTAGATGGATTTCCATGAAATTCAGCAGGTGGATAATTGACCCAGGGCAGCTTATAGGCTTTTTATCCGATTAAAGAACATCGAAAATGGAGGGAAACGTATTTCTTCCTTTTGATGCCAATTTGGTATTATATATGATTCTGATAATTATAAACGAGATAACATAGTGTTATTTTAATTGATGCCGTATTATAAATAAAGTTCAGATTTAAAATTTTACACAGCGCATAAATCTACATGCGTGATGTAAAGTTTTCAACCTACGCGGACACAGATTATTTTGCTTTATTTTATAAACAAACTTTATTTGATATGTTTGAATAAATTATACATAGTATATAAAATAATTTAAATATTCTTACCTTAATAGTTTATTTTTTAGCTTTTATTATTAATAGTCTTATAATTTAAATAAAAAATAGCAATATCTCTCTAAATATGAATTGAAATTTAACTACTAATGTCTATAAATATTTCAATTAAAAGTGATCAACCTGCGATTATTGCAACACTCTCTTCATACTTGTGGTTTAATTTATGAGATTTTTATTATGTCTTGTTCAGATCGTTGAATTGATCAAAATATAAAGTAGTTTACCTTTTCAATAAATTATGGCATTTATAAAATTTATCACTGTTTGTTGACCGTATTACGATATTGCTTGACCAAATCGGTGAATGGAGATCGTTTGACGATACTAACAACTAAACACAGCATTGCTATTTCTAGCGGCGCTGATAGCCCATTTTTTTTAGATACTTTTAACCGATTTTACGAGTAGTTTACTTTATGCCTCATTTATGTATTATGCATAAATGCAAAGCACAGCTCAGCTGCACCTCTAGCCACTATCGGTGATATTACTAAATGGTTGTTTTAGTATGCTATGTCCAAACGTTGATAGAAGACAAATCGACACATTACCACCCCTTTTGGTTTGTATAAGTTTTTGCGGATGATGTTCGACCTTAGAAGCGCAACTCGTGGAATCGTAAACATTGTTAAAATAGGTAATGAATACGAGTCATCACTTTTTTGTTACATTGGTGATCTCATCGTAGCCTCGCGAAATAACGTCATCTACCGAAAACATGTCCGTAAAGTATCCGAGCTATTCCACAGTATCGAGTTGACCATAAATCTAGGTAAGAGTTTGTTTGGAGTGAGCGAAGTAGATTTTTTAGGATGCAATGTCACTTCGTCAGGAATTAGCCCTTTGCCCGACAAGGTCTTGGCTATTCTGGACTATCCAAAGCCACAGACAGTCGACGACTTAAGACGTTTTTAGGCATGGTAAATTTATAGAGGTCACACTTACCCTAAGCGGCTGAATGTCATATAAATCTAAACAAAATTTTACATAACACAAAGAAGAAGAACAATAGAAAAATTTAATAGGACATTGAAGCCGACAACGCCTTCTAAAAGTGTAAGTTAGACCTACTAAACGCCGTAACATTATCACATCCGGTGTCGGACGCGCAATTATTATTGATGACCGATGCCTCAAACACCTGTGTAGTCTCAATACTGAAACAGAAGGTTAACGGTACTTGGAAGCCGATCGGGTATTTCTCAAAAAATCTATCTGATAGCTCAACAAAAATACAGTACGTATGACAGATAATTGTTGGCTGTGTACATGTCCATCATGCATTTCAAAAACATGATAGAAGGACGGGAAATGATCGTGTACACAGACCACAGGCCTGACATACACACTCACAAAGCTAAATTCCAGTAAAGAGATTCCTCGCCGAATTAGACAGTTGTTGTTTATTAGCGAGTATACCAGCAGTATACAACATGTCACTGGTAACAATAATCCAGTCGCAGACGCGTTATCGCGTATTGAAATTATTGTTTGCTCAATGGTCATAGATTACGAGGAATTAGCGACAGCGCAAAAAGCCTACGTTCAAATTTCGCTGATGCTATAGGACGCCGGCGCGTCGAACAAGATACAGTTAAAGAGTATTATTATTCCCAATGTTAATAAAAGTATATACAGTGACATCGCGGGCGGTAATATATCAGATCTTACGTACCACAGTCATTTAGGAAAGCTGTTTTCGAATCAATACATAACATCAGCCATACAGGTATTAGGATGAATCGGTCAATGATTACTAAGAAATTCATTCATTCCACAACCATATTATTAATATAGCTGCAGCATGGCCCTACCACGTAAAAAAGTTCAAAGGATTCGTACTGCACCTTACCGTCCTCAGAGTTATGGGATGATAGAGCGATGTCACCGTTGTTTGAAAGTCGCTTTAACAAGCAGGTTATCAAAATACGAATTATGGGATGATGAATTACCCACAATTTTATTCGGATTACGAGCAGCCGGTGTGACACAGGCTTTAGTGCAGCCGAGTAAGTTCTACGGACAACTATAACGCTCAACAGGTGATTTTTACCGCGAGGCGATTCCAAAGCTCAGCCCAAGCTGTCTGTAGTATTCTTTATTTGAAGTTGGTTGCAGGTATCCATGGCCGCCATTTACCATTAGGTGGACAATTATTTCGTATGACACTTAATTTTTAATAGAAAAATGCCCTTCAACAGCTTTTAAACAGTTCTATTAAAGTATATAGGAGCGGACATCAGCACACAAATTATCATCATTGTGCATTATCACTAGTTCAACGCCGAAAAAAGTCTTCCACCATATACTATCACACCTAATCAATCAAATCATATCAACATGACCAGTATGAGGTTGCCACTACCTGAGCTATTTAGCCGGTCCACTGATACTGATTTTATCGTTACAACGTTACAGCCTATTAAAGTCTACTGCTGATCATATGCATGTAAGACAGGGTGACGTAATATCTCCGAAACTCTTCACCCCTGCATTGAAAGACGTTTTCAAGCTACTGGACTGGAAAGGATACGGTATTAAAGACAATGGCGAGTACATCACTCACCTTCGTTTTGCCGACAACATAGTCCTTATGGCAGAATCGCTGGAGGACCTAAGCACCATGCTTAATGACCTTAATAGTGTCTCCCAATAGATAGGTCTTAAGATGAACATGGATAAAACAAAAATCATGTTTAGTTCATGTCACACCTATGCCAGTAGTTGTTGGAAACACTAAGCTCGAAGTTGTTGATGAATATGTTTACCTGGGACAAATAGTCTGACTAGGTAAGTCCAACTTCGACCGAGAGGTCAATCGACGGATTCAACTCGGCTGTGCAGCGTTCGGGAGATTACGACACATATTCTCGTTAAACATACCTAAAAACCTTAAAACTAGATTGTTCAACCAGTGCGTGTTGCCAATGACGACCTATGGAACTGAGACGTGGTCCTTCACTGCTGGCCGTATGAGGAAGCTCAAGGTCGCTTAGCGAGCTATTGAGAGGGCTATGCTCGGAGTATCTCTGCGTGATAAATAAAGAAATGAGGATATCCACAGTAGCACCAGTGACCGACATAGCCCAACGGATTATTAAGTTGAAGTGGCAATGGGTCGGCCATATAGCTCGAAGAACTGACAACCGACGGGAAAAAAATGTTCTCGAGTGGCGACTTCGTACCGGCGGACGAAGTGTAGGGCCTCCCCCCACTAGACGGAGTAACGACCTGGTAAGACATGCAGGAAGTCGATGGATGCAGGTGGCTCAGGACCGTGTTTCGTGGCATTCCTTGGGGGAGGCCTATGTTCAGCAGTGGACTTGGGAAGGGTTGTAATGATGATGATGATGATCATAGGACTCCCCATACATTGTCACATGGGGAAATATTTGCCATAGTTTGTCGTGAAGCGACAATAAAGAACAAAAAGAATCTAACCTAAGAACAACAAAACAACAAAAATACAACAAAAACAAAAATATATTTAAAATTCAAAGATATTTACAATTTTATAAAAAAATGAAATGAGGATGATGATGAATGAAGTGAGAGTACAATTAGATTACAAAAAAAAATAAAGGTAGGAGAATAGGGGAATATAGAGTTGTAGTGGAGCCTAAAAGTCGAAGCGACACACGTTGCGATTGTAGAGGTAGGTTTCTTAGCAGCGACGACACGCAGCGCCTGAAGCCAGCACACGCCGGTTGCGCTTGTAGAGGTAGGTTTCTTAGCAGCGACGGCACGCAGCGCCTGGAGCCAGCACACGCAGCGTCCGGAGCCGGCGCACGTAGCGCCTGGAGTAGATGCGCTCAACGCTTAGAGTCAGCAGATGCAACGCCCAAAGGTAGCGCCGGCGGTAGGTGCACTCGGCGCCTGGAGTAAGCAGTCGTAGCGCCCGGAGTAGTGTGGCCCCCGCGCTTGAAGTAGACTGCCGACGACTTCTGAGGTTGATGGAGGTAGTAGGATTCCGGAGTGGTGCGGCTCCGCGCTTGAAGAAGGCTTCGCCGAAGACTTCACGTGTAGGTGGAGGCTTGCAGGATCCCGGGGCAGTGCGGCCCCGGGATAAGGCCTTTAGGAGATGCTTCCAATTCGAGAACTGAAGCGAGACTGTCTTTCTTCACCGATTGTTCGGCTTTTATACCTTTCTAGAGAGAACGGAAAAATTATTTAAATTAAACGCAAATTTTTTGTAAATGGTCAAGAGAAAAGTGTATTTATGTGGAATTATCGAAATAGGAACAACAGATCGGTAGCAAATTTGAATATAAT